GGGAGGCCTAGTGGAAGCTATCTAAAGATCAGCTGGGCTGTAAGAGTTGGGTTCTCCAGTTCCTGGAGGAGTTTAAGCATGAGCTGGGCAAGTAGCTGATGGAAGGCTGTAGAGGCCCACTAGCCTAGAGAGCTGCTGAGTTCCTGTGAATCCCAGGATTCTGAGCATCTAAGATAGAGTGAAATATGATTGGGAGGACTCCAGTTCCACCGGATCCCCAGTGACTCCCTCATGGGCCTGGAGTTCTGACATCCCTGTTTCTGCTGGCATGGGGCTACCTCCTTTGGCGAGGTCAGAGCCTAATGAGGTAGGTTGATCTGGAGCACTTCTGGCATGGCAGAGAGCCCTGGGTGGACCAGCACCTGCCGTAGTTGAGGCAGAGCTTGCTGGGTGTGCACAGGATTTGAAGGGAAGTGACACCCACATCGCCTTTTTGCCCTTGGTGAGCAAAAAATATGTCCTCTTCTGGACATCTTCCTCATCAGTTTCTCTCTGGAGTCATTAAGAAAGGTATGAGATCTGAAAACCTGGGGGTACCTCTTCTCTTTCCTGAAGGTAGGAAGAAAACATCGACACCATCCTTCTTAGCCAGTGTCATCTCCTATTGCGCGGCCTTACATCTTACGGAGTGTAGGTCAACACAGTCTGCTAATTTTGCCTCAGAAATGGCTTGGGGATCCATTCGTCCCCTCTGTAACTTCTCTGTCTCAGGCCCTTATCATCCCTCATGTGACAGTGACAAGGGCCCCTTGTTCTTTGTTCTCTTGGCCTCTATGCTCCCTCAGAGTGGTCAACCTGAAAAATGATCCAGTCACGTCATTGCCCCGCTGAAAGATTCTGTGTTCTCTGCATGCAGGATAACAACCCAAACTCAGCCTGTCGCAGTTTGATGCCACACAACCTCTCCCACCTCCTCTCCATCCAGGAGCCCCTTCTCACTGCACCCTCAGTATACCCCTGCCATGGGGAATCCAGACTTCTACTTATAGGGTTTTGGTTTCTCAGAATGCCCTTATCCATGTTTTCTGCTTGGAAAACTCCTAATCTTGAGACCTTCTCAAATGTCACATTTTCTTTGAAATCTTCTGACTCACCCAGGCAGAGTGAGAGTCTCCTACTTGGCTCTTGGAGTCCTTTGAGCCAGACTCTACTGTGTTGCCCTTTTTTGAGTCCACCTCTGTGGCTCATGTGTATGCTTACCAACCACAGGGACAGAGCTGTGCTTCATCTGTGCCCAGGAAATATTAGTCAAATGAATGAATAATCAAATTCCCTAGCCTATAATTCATTGACCTGCTGACCATCCCATAAAGAAGCATGATAGTAGGCTTGCCCATTGAAAGTCAGCTGAATGGCCTCTCATTTTCTTCAGAACTATTGGGTCTGTAGCAGAGAGAGTACTGTGTAAGTTCGCTAAGGGCTACTGTAACAAAATATCATAAACTGGGTGACTTAAACAACAGAAATTTATTGTGTCACAGTTCTGGAGACTAGAAGTGTCTGTAATCAAGGTATCGGCAAGGTGGGTTCCTTCTAAGGGTTGTGAGAGAGAATCTGTTCCATGCCTCTCTCCTAGCTTCTGGTGGTGTGTTGGCAACATTTGGCCTATAGAAGCATCACCTCAGTCTCTGCCTCCATCTTCACATGGTGTTCTCCCAGTGTGTGTACCTGTGTCCAAATTTTCTTCTTTTATAAGCACACTAGTTATATTGAGTTAAGGCCCATGTTAACTTGATTACCTCTGTAAAGACCCAAATAAGGTCACACTGAGGTACTGAGGTGCATATGGGGACATAATTTAACTCTTAACAGGTACCAAGTCCTTGGGAATATGATTTTTTTCTCTCTCAGCATCCCTTTCCGCATGTGCAGAATGGGAGACTGAACTAGACAGATAAACCCTGAGGCCTCATTTATAATAAATTCATTCATTCAGTTAACAAAGAGTAATTGAGTGCATACTATGTGCCAGACACTGGAATTTGTGCTCAGTAAGCAGAGTTCTCTCAATGGTTTGTGCCCTTCCTGCTGAGCGAGACATAGTGAAGTGTCCGTGACATATCTATGGTCAGCATCTTCAATGCAACTGTGTCATTCGATTGGGAATCTGCCTCATCAGCTGTTTGAACATTGGTTCCACAATCTGAAGAATAGACCTGTGGTTGCCAAGTTTAAATCTTAGGCATAATCTGGTTATGAAATCAATTTGGAAACATTTTGAGTGAGCTGCATTGCTCAGTCATTCTCCAATCCCATGTTTCTGGCTTCAGGAGGGGCTGGCACCATCTATTTGTAAAGGAAGTAGTAGCACACACCTCCTAAGAGCTATGTTGTTGAGAACTGAGCCTCATTCTAAAGGCACATAACATAGCCAGGTACCCACAGACAGAGACCTAGGATTGGGCACCTCCTGGGGTGGTGGGTGAGCCATGCTCCCTGGGATTATTCCCTGGGCCTTGCCTCTTCCCTCATTGAGACCACCAGAACTGTGTTCATTGTTTAAAAAGTTCCCATAGAGCCAGTGCTCACCATGTTCTCTGGGGTCTGTGCTATGCACCTTAAATGCACCATGTTCTCTGGGGTCTGTGCTATGCACCTTAAATGCTTTATCTCATTTAATCTTTGCTACAGTCTTGTGAGGTCAGAACTATTACTGTGACCATTATGAGAAACTCAGTTGCTACGTCTTGAACCAACTTGCCTGAGGTCTGGTAGTTAGTAAGGGGCAGAGCAGGCTCTCAAATGCAGGTCTGTCTGACCCTAACGTGGGGTTTTTTACTTTCTGCTCTCTTGCCATCTCTTAACACATGGATCTGATCACGTCAGTCTCTTGCTAAAAACCGTTTATAGCTCCCTGTTGCCTACAGTGATGGCATCTTACCAGAGATAGGAGAACACTGTGATGCTGAATGTAAAATTTTGTATTTGTGTGTGTGTTTGTGTATGTGAGTGTATTTTCCGGGGAGAGGATTCAGATCTTGGCCAGATTCTCAAAGGGTCCCTGACTTCACAGGCTAAAGTACACATGCCTTAGAGAGGCAGTCAAGAGTCATCACTATCAGAGCTTCTGATTTCTCACTGGGGTTATTTCCTTCCACTTCTTGTTCAGATCTGTTGTTCTGAACTTCTAACAACTTTCTGGAAGGTTCCTTGCACTCTCACACCTTCAGGTTTGTGTTCATGTGGTTTCCTCTCTTGGTACTGCCTGCTATCCTCTTCCTCACCAGAGAAATTCCAGCTCATCCTTCAAAGTCTAGCTTGGATGCCACTTACATGAAACTATCCTCAATCCGCCCCCTGCTTTGGGCTTGTGTGAGTTTTATTCCCACTATGTATATAGAACTCATGACATTGCCTGGGGGCTAACATGGTTTTTGAGCCATTGGAGAGCCCAGCGTCCTCTTCATTCCGTACTGCCTGGTAGAGGGCCTGGCCCAGGGTGAACATGCGGGAATCATCTGTTAGAGTTTAGAAATCAATAAGAGTCGTTTAACTTTATCTGGGTCCCATAATCTAAGGGACACATTTTTAGACTCTAGCCTTGGAGATCAGGACTAACTCCCATCTTTTAGGCTATGTGTGTTCTCCCAGATCTCACTTTCGCAGAATGTTTGATTTGGGGAAACAAATTTGTGAAATAATAAGCCCTGTTATGCTTCTACTGGACAGAATAGAAAGAAAGCTGGACAAACTGGGAGCAGCCTCTGTGTAGTGACTGGTAGTTTTCAGAGTCACAGTGGTCAGATTTAATAGTGAGGACTTGCTCCATTCATCTCTCTGTTGCCTGCCATCTAACCATTCATCCACTCCATGAAATGTCTTTCTTATTAAGATTTTCTTTCTCTTTCCCCTTTCTCTCCTCTTCTCTTCCCTTGTCCTGCCTTGCTTCACCTTCCCTTCTGTTCTCTTTCCTTTACATATTCTGTAACCAAACTGTTTAGACTTGAATCTTGGTTCAGACATTTACTAAATCTAAACCTCAGTTTCTTCATCTGTAAAATGGGGGATAATAATAATATCTCATTAGAGGATGTTATAAGGAGTTAATTAAATGAGTTAATATATGTGAAACTCTCAAAATTGTGTTCAGTCAACCTTAATGACTCTTGGTTTTCTCAGTGACATCTTTGTTTTTCTTAAAAACTTGCTTTTCTCTTGCCGTCTATCTCCTCTTTCACTCTCGCATCCTCTCTCTCTCTCTCTCTCTCTCTCTCTCTCTCATTTACTCAGTCCCTTTTTCTCAATCTCAGTCTTTCTCTCTCTTCCCCTCCTTCTGGGACCCAGTTCTAGGAGTTCACAGGCCTCTGTCTTCGCCTGACTTACTACATGGGAGGCTGGTGCTGGGCAGGCAGGAGGGTCTCAAGCACCTGCTCTGGGCCTGTGAGGCCTACAGTCTTCCCTAGGAGACCCAAGTACCCAGAGCCTTTAGGAGCTGCCTGGGCCTTTGTGTTATCTCCACCTTGGCCTAATGATTCTTTTCCCCAGAACCCCTGAGCAGCCCTGCTGTGAGCTCAGCCTAGGGGCTCCTGCACTGGGCAGCAGTGGGTGGGTGGTTGGCTGGGGGACCCTTCCTCCCCTTCCTTCCTCTCCTGCACAAGGTGAGGGAGACCATAAACCTTTCATTCATGCTTCATCTTAGAAGCTTCTGTACACTGAGGGTAAGAGTAAGTTTTCTTGGGTCCTCTCTCTTCATACCTGAGCCACGAGTAAGGCTTATACCAATTTTTGGCTTACTCTGTTAAGCCAGAGGAGGTTCCTGCTGGCACACAAGATGGAGAGCAGAAAGCCCCCTTCCGTCAACTGCTGCTCACTGGTGGCCTCACCGTGGAGGCTCTGTCAGCTCTTCCCACCTCCTCTTCTTTTATCAGGGCCCTCCTGTAGCCACTGAGCGTCTTTACTTTCATTATATATGAAAGCTCCCACTTTAATAGATCATGTTATTCATATAAGAAAGTGCATGAGCAAAACCCAAACAATACATTCACGTATTCAGAGGGGATTTTATTCCTTGAGAGCTGAAAAATGATATGAAATCTCTGTTTTTACCTTGCTTTTGGATAATGTAATTTCAGCATGAAGAATATGTTTTTAATGTTTTATTCTTCTTCCTAAGTAAATATACAGTCTGGCTTAAGTCCATCAAGTGTCCAAATGAAACAAAAATCTACCACTAAGTTTTTCCAGTTGAGCAAAATCTCTGTGATCTGAGCTGCTAATTGTTAGTGTCAGCTGGTTGACGTTCCTGTTTTCCAGGGAGGCTGGGTAGGGGGCAGCACTTCACTGTGTCCTCCCCATTCCCACCCCACTAGTCTCATTTCTAATTTTGCCCTTGGGGCAGCTCCTAGGAGGCCTGTTTCTCCTGCATTTCTTTCTCAGCCTTTTCTGTACAGAGTCCTCTAGCACAGAGGGAGGTGCTTCCAGAGAGATTTGACTTCCCTGAAGGAAGCTCTACTCCACAGCCCACTAGGTGGGGAACTGGCTTTTAGAGTTAGGGTCCTGCTTGCAGAATTTTTGCGGACATGCAGATTATTGAGTGGGGGGACCCTTTCCTAGCCTGAGGGGCAGGTTGCAGGCTGGTTCAGGGGTTCCTAGGACACAGAGGGCTCTGGGCAGCCTCTCAGGCTAATTGGGATTTATTCCTTTCCTTATTCATTCAGCAGATATTAAGTGAGTTCCAGGTACCGTGCTGAGCCCTGGGGAAACCAGAGTGAATGGGACGTTGGCTCGTTCTCAAGGGGCACAGATTCAGGTAAGAGAAATAAAAATGTGTTTCTGTCATTTTTTTCATCCAGCATAACTCCAGTGCCTGCTAAATATTTGTTCTGGGTTAGCCTGCTCATGTTAATGACATGATATGACTCGACTTGCATATCTGTCAGGAATAAGCATTTGTTTCTCATTCCCTCATGGGTTTCTCATCAAATGTCACCACAAATTCCCATTGCTCCCCAGAGAAGAATTTAAATTCTGCAAGAGCAAAAACCGTGTCAGTTTTATTTACAACTATACACCCAGTATCTAGTAGCAAGGTTATTAAAGGATAGATACTCAGTAACTATTTGTTGAATAAATGAATGAAAGGGAAGGTGAACGGAAGATGGTCTACAGCAGTGTTTCTCAAACTTTAAAATAAGAATCATGTGAAGAGCTTGTTAAAATATAGATTCCCACCCCAAAGACTCTGATCCAGTAGGCCTGGGATGGAGCCTGAGTCTTTACTTTCTAAGCTCCCCGGTGATGCTGATACTGCTGGTGTAAGGGCCACACTTTGTACAGTGAGGGCATATGGAGTCTTCTTCCCTCTCACAGATCAATGACAAGACGTGACACTGGATCCTGGGTTTGGCCCTCCCCACCTTCTTAGCAGGGGCCCCAGGCTGTCATACAGGATCATTCCAAGCACTTGGGATTCTGTACAGGTGTATGATAACATAGCCATGATGCAGGTGTTTGAGCCAGCCAGGGGAATTATCAATGTGAGCCTTCAGTCGTCAGCTCATTAAGTGAAATACAGGGCTATGAAAACATCTCTGCTTGTGAAACCCTTTTGTCTCTCATGAGGATCATGGTCCCTTCTTATGTGAGCAGCTTCTTCAAGGAGAAGAACCTGCTCTTGCGGCGGTTTGGGTTTTTACTTATTCCTCATCACTGTGTATTCGTGCTGAGTAAGTTCTAATTGTCTTTGACACCCCCCACCCACCCCAGGGCTGTCAAATGGGGTTTGCTAACCTCTCTCTCCAAACCGTTGAAGGATGCACTGACTAGGCGAGGGGCAGCTCTCAACCCACCCTCCCTGAAGTTCTGAATGAGAGATCTGACTCAATCTCAGTGAGACTCTGTGATCTCGTCCCTTTCCACAAATCTTTGGAGGCTGGTGTCCCTGACCAGACTTACTGCAGACTTCACCCCTCAGACGTACATCTGCAGTCACTGTCGAAAGCTATCTGTCATCTGTTAGATGAAATAAGCACTGTGGTGACGGGGAAAGCGTTTTGGAGTCTTTCAGAATCCCTTTGGGTGTTTCCTCCCCCATGACCTGGGCTGGGTTAAGTGCCTCACCGCTGAGCACATGCAGCCCCAGCACTTCTCTGCTCTTCTGCCATAGCACACGTTATGAAACCGCCAGGCCACGTGCCTGCCTCCTTCATTGGATTTGGAGTTCCTTGAGCACAAGGATTCTCTTGTTTCCTCCTTAGCCGAGGAGCCCAGACCAGGGCTTGCTGCGTGGTGGCCGCTCACTGATGGTTATTTGAGCCCATGAGGAATCATGTTCACATACTAGCTGGGCTGCTTGCTGATTGTGTGATCTCTTAGTCACTTCTTGGAGCCTCACTTTCTTTTTCTGAAAAATGGGGATGAGAATACATTTGGGAAGGTTGGCTTTCTCTGTGCCAGGCCTGATTCTACATGCTTCATGTGTGATGTCTCACTTAACCCTCATAACTACCCTATGTGTGGGTATTACCATTGACTATTTTCAGTTAAGGACACTGAGGAACAGCGAACTTACGGAATTTTTCTAAGGTTATCTGATAAATGGGATAAAGGGTGGGTCAGGATTTGGAGTCTGGCTGTCTGATTCCGGAGCCTGCAAAATAGCCACTATAGTAATCATTCTCAACTTGGGGTGAATCTGTCTCCCAGGGGTTGGCAATGCTGGAGACAATTTGGGTTGTCACAGGTGGCAAGAGGAAGTGCTGCTGGCCTCTAGTGAGCAGAGGCCAGGGATGCTGCTAAACATCCTACGATGCATAGGACAGTCCCCACAATAAAGAACTGTCCTGTCCCAAATGTCAATAGTGCCTCAGTTGAGGAACCTTGCATTACACTGTACTGCCTCAGTGAGATCAAGTGTGCTAAGAGCCAGGCCCAGAGCAGGCCCACAATAAATGGCACTTCGTTCTCAAAGTTCACAGGTTGCAGCTCAGAGAAGAAAAATCACTCAGCCTTCAGTTTCCTTCAGCAACTCAGGTTTTAGTCTTAATGGTTCCCTGCTGCTTGGCATCTCTATCTCGTGAGTTCCTGTCTTTGTGCGATGTGCTGACAGTTGTCAAGAGTCGGGGCAAAACTTTCCTTGGGAGAAGTCCAACTTCCCTGAGACCTGGCAAGTTCAGACATTGCACACAGAATGTGCCTTCCCAAAAAGCCTCCTGGCCTCTGACCTCATGGCACGGTCGACTCTGGGGATGGCTGGGTTTTGTGCATGAAGCTTCTCCTTTCAGGGGAGCTGACATTTCTCACCGTTTGTATGGAAGGCCTTGTGGGGTACTTGCCACTATCACTGAGGTCTTGACATGGACACTAGCATGGTTCTGGCCCTTGAAAATGTAGTCATTTGGAGTAATGTAGTCAAATGGAGTCAAGGAGAACATGACAGATGACCTGTTAGCTAGTGCAGCAAAAACACCCCACATGCTGGGCACTTCAGAAGGGAAGCTTTGAGACCATGGCTTTACCACTGACCCACCATGTGACCTTGGGCAAGTGCCTGGAACTGACTTCTTTCATTGTCAGCATGAGGGCCTCTGTCCTGCCTTATGTAGCTCCATGGAATGACCTTTGGGCAAGTTGGATTCAGGGGGTCTTATGTATAAGAGAGAACCAGAAGAACAGGAAGGTAATGACAAATTGGAAGGGTGCTGCTGTACATACAGAGGGCACAGTTGTTTAGCATTTGGGGTTTCGTTTCCTTGTAAACTCATATTCCTTCATGCTTCAGCAATGTAGAGTTAAGTCAGAACAGTGTTTTCAGCAGCAAAGGACCGTTGAATTTTTGTTGGAAGCTTGCTCACAGCCTTGCCTGGGTCCTGATACCCAGTGTGACATTTTCTAGCCATGAGCGCAAGGAAGTTTTACTTAAAATGTTGGCCAGCAGGAGGCAGCATAAATTGACTCTGGAGAACCAGTGGCAGAAAGTGAGCTAGTATATCCACCCTGGCACAGGAGCAGAAACAGCTGGCTTCTCTGAGGCCTAAGGAAAAAATTGATTTCAGTTAGAATGTTACCTGGGATTTATGATCTGAGGGGAATTTGTTCCTTCTTAAAGCTGACATCGTGTGTGTATATGTATCTCCAAACTCATCAAGTTGTATATATTAAATATGAGCAACTTTCTCTATGTCAATCATACCTTGAGAGAATGGTTAAAAAGAAGTTGACAGACATAGGGCTCCAGATGGAAGAGTCTGTTGCCTTTCTGGGGGTGGGCGGGTAGGTGGGTGAGGGAGTCCATAAGGGGACTTTTCACTCCGTGTGCTCCACATGATAAGAGGGTATTTGAAGAACTCTGAAGAATTGGCAGTTTACACTTCTCATCAGCACTGACACGGTTCAGGGCTTTGAATTTCATGAACAGACCTGACAACTTGGTCAGGGTGTGCTGCTAGTATTACAGGTGTGACTGCTGCCTTCTATGCTGCAAATCTGGAAACTTCTTGGATAAAATGTAAGAGGCCAGTAGAGCCAATGACAAAGTCCTTCCCTGGGTCTCCTTTTCTGAACCAAGTTTGTCACCTAAACTGGTCCCAGAAGCAATAGGTGAGATGGCACCAGTCATACCACGCTAACGAAAGGAGCAGCCTCTAACTCAACCACTGACTGCAGGCAGAGAGCTCCCTCCCATCTGCAGGAGTTCAGTGGGTGCAGACCCACCCCCGTTGCTCAGGTGTGGAGGCTTCCCCTCACATTCTAGTTGCAGAGTTGACATGCAAAATGCCAAATTGAAAGGCTATAGATGTTCAAAAGTGGGATGAAATCCAGGTCAGCTAATAGAATTCATATCACGTTTTATCAGATAAACTTGGCTGTACATGGCATTTTGGAGTCCTCTAAGCATATTTAGAGAGTTCCAAGTTGGATGCCTCATGGTGCTGTCGTATTTTCAGCAGGCCTTATCAGTGACCTGCAATAAGATAACAATAAAAATAGTAGCATTTATAGCACTCATTGTGTACCAGCACCATACAGGGTCTTTTATTTATAATTCTTTTAAAACCTGAAAAATTAATATTATTTGCCCTTTGTTGCATGTGAGAAGAATACCTAGAGCAGTTAACTGACTGCAGATGGTCAGTTAGTGGTAAAGCTAGAATTAGAACTTAGGTTTCCGTGTCTTCAAAAAAAACACATGCTTTCTGTCATTACCTTCAGATGAAACCTGTGTAGATGGGAAAGGCTAAGCTGTAACACAGTAACCCCAGTACACAGTGGGTTAAATAATATGGGATCTTATTTCTCTTTTACATAAGTCCTGTTGTAGGTGGATGGCCTGGGAAGGCTGGGCAGCTCTGAGAGGTCATTCAGGGACCTAGGTTCTTCCTTTATTGTTGCTCCACCATCTCTTAGAATGTTTTCCTCATCTACATAGTCAGTTTCTTGCCAACAACATGTCCATGTTCTAACCCTTGGGAAGGGAGAAAGAAACTGATTGGAAGGCAAGCAATTTACTGTGAAGAAAGTGACCAGAAGTTGTACACATCATTTCTTACCCACACACCATTAGATAACCATAGTTACATGGGCAAACCTAGCTGCAAGAGAGTCTGGGGAATGTGTTTCTGGTGGAGTGGATGTGTGTTCTGCTAAAACTCAGGGTGGAGGTGTGTGTACGAGTGCGTGTGTTTGTCCTAATACTAAATAGAAAGAAAGAATGGATTTTTGGAGATATTTAACAGTTGCTGATATATACCCTTCCATAAAGTTGAAAACATATCCTTCTTTCTTTAGAAAAAAGTGAAGGCACTTGAAAATTTAATCTGACGAGGCATGACCCAGTCATGCCTACCCACTGAGTTGGTGCTAATGCTAATGTGAGATGAGACTTTGGGGCAATGGCCTGGACTGAGTGAATCAGGCATTGAGCATTGCTCCTTGCTGATCTTGCTTGGGGGAAGGTCTCAGGAAATTCTGACCTTGGCCAGGCTTGTCAGGAGCTGGTCCCTGATCACTCTCCACAAATACTTGGATCATCACTTAGTACTCAGTATCACTCCAGGTTGAGAACTTTCTTTGGAATTCCTACTGCCCCTGGAAAATTCTTTGCTCTTTAAATTCTAGAGTTAGGATGGTAGGATTAATTTAGGATAATGGTGCTGAAAGTTATCTGGATGTTCTGCTCACTTCATTTCCTCTACTTTTTCAGCGAAGACAAAGGAATTGAACAATTCCAGTGTCACTCTCTAGCTATGGGCGCTCTTTAATGATGGAATGACCTGGAATCCTTTCTGGGGACAAACACGTGCTTGAGGTTGGGGTCACCACATTTCCCACTCACACCCCTTCCTTTTGTACTCTTTTCTTCAGCTGTACTGCATGAACAAAAAACGTTTGGTTCCAAGAAACCTGTGCCACTTTTTCTTTTCATAAATTGTTACCTCTCCTAAACCCCACTGCCTCTACCCTCAGTTCCCACACACCTCCCTGCAATATCTAACCAACTTCTTATCCATTAAATCTCATTGCAACCTCACTTCCTCTGGGGTGCCTTCCCTCACTCCCTGGTCTGATTCAAGGGCTTCTTGCCTGTGATCCCAACAACCTTTGTACTTCTCTCTCTCTTTGTAGTGTGGAGCAGTTGTTGAAAACTGAGTTTGAGTCAGGGCTTTGCCTCTTTACTGGCTGTACAACTTGGCAAGTTTCTTCCTCTTGCCAAATCTCAGTTTATTGGTAAAGTTTGATGGTAAAGTACCTGTATTATAGGACTGCTCTGAGGATCCAGTGAGATATTGCCTATAAGTTGCTTGGCACAGTCTCTGGCACATGGAAGGCACTCAGTAAACATTTCGCTGCCTGGCATCTGAAATCCATTCTCACATTTGGAAGATTCCCTCAGGATGAGTCCTGGAAGGACTGCATCCACCTGTGTCCACTTTCAAAGCTGAAAGGCCAGCTGCTGCTTTCCCCTCCCCATTGGGACCCAGGGCTTGAGCACAGCTTATCGGATGCCCCAGCCGCATAGTCAGTGTTGCATCTCCCTGCACTACCTGAGGGGTTTATCCTGTTCAACTTGGCAGCAGCAAGAACAGCCTGTTCTCCAGAGTAGCCACGGAAACAGGACCAGCCACGGTGTCCTCACCAGATCTTCCCTGTGGTGGGATTTTGGCTGTGGTCCTATTGTGTGACCTCTCTTAGTTCCTGCCCATTTTTGGCATCTTGTCCTCCAAGCTTTTCAGAAATTCTGTGAGGAGTATTTTCCCTCCAATAAATTTCTTTTCTGCTTAAGTAAACCAGAGTTGGTGTCTGATGCTTACAACCAGGAGCTTGATCAGCAGAGTTAACTTTTATTATTATTGTTGTGTTGTTATTGCCCTCATCACAGTGTACTGCAGTCACTGAGTTGCCTTCCTCCCTCCTGGACTGTGAACCCAGCTGTTGAACAGTCCACAGCACAGCACAGCACTGAGCTCCGAATATACTTACTGAACGAGTGTATGACATCTAATGATGGCTGGGAAATGAATGATTGAATGAGTAGATGAATGAAATATTTGTCAGTGCTTATGAGGATTCTCATTGCACCTAATTTGGAGTTGAGGTAACCTGCAAGATGGTGACATGAGCAGAGCTCAGATAATGCACTGTCACTTCTACTATATATTTTAATATTAGAAGGCCTAAATGACCTGCCTTTTCAGGCTGAAAAAAATGTATTGAACACAGATAGTTGTGGGGGCTTCCAGGTTGACACACTTCTTACATTCTGGGTGCAAGACATCCTTACAGCATCCTGATTGTAGCAGGGGCTCCCCAGAAATGACCCTAACCAGGTGTCTGATGTTTTGCCCCTTGTAATGTGTGTAAATGCACATTCCTTTACTTAATTCTCACAAAAGTGCTGACTGATAGGTACTGCTATCCCCATTTTACAGATGAGGAAACAGTTTCAAAGAGGATAAGTAGCTTATAGAAGGTGACTCACCCAGGAAATAGCAGAGGTATGTCTCAAATTAGGCCCTAATCTCCAAATACTATGCTCTCGCTGTTCTACCTCTCCACCCAGGGAGTAGTAAACTGTCAATGAGGTTTATTTACTGAGGGTGCTTTTTTAAATGAGGAAGTTAAATTATTCTCATTAGAGGCACTAATCACATTATCTTGGGCACTCTTTTGGCAACGTACCAGGAGGATTTACATATGTCACAGCCTTGGAGCTATGCTTGGTGTTTTGGAACTTATTCTGATCATTGGAAAACCACAGAAGATTGTGGTACATATTATGATTTGCAATGTTAATGAACCAAACCAAACTAATTTTCAGTGGTAATAAACCAAGAAGCCTTGGCCAAGAATCCATATGGATTTTGTAGGACACTTCTCCAAGATGTGTCTGAATATTTGTCTCCCTCTCGTATTGGCTCAAAGTGCCCCTATTTTATTTCTGATATTAGCCATACTCACATCTCTGTGTCCCTTGTGGGGAACATGAAGATTCTGGATCCCATCATGCCTGATAATAATGGGCTTATATCATAGTGGAGCTGTTTGCAGACAGGAAGTTCTTCAGAACTGTCTCCATTTTCTTTCATAGCCTTGGGCTGGTGGGCAACCTGAGAGGAGGTATAAATAGCCAAGGATGTTTTAAGGAGAATTGTTGGATGAAATCGTACACCTCCAAGTGTATAATTCCTTGACATTGATAATGCTATTTTGATTAACAGGAAGCATTTATTTTGGCTCTTGGCTCATTTGTTTTTGGCAGAAGAACAAGACGGATGGCATTTTACAGATTCCATTTTACATTTTGTTGAGGAAAGTATAACCTTTCTTTTTTTAGTTTATTTTTGGCTGTGTTGGGTCTTTGTTGCTGTGCACGGGCTTCCTCTAGTTGTGGCGAGTGGGGGCTACTCTTCATTACGGTGCGGGGGCTTCTCATTACGGTGGCTTCTCTTGTTGCGGAGCACGGGCTCTAGGGCGCGTGGGCTTCAGTAGTTGTGGCACACGGGCTTAGTTGCTCCACAGCATGTGGGAACTTCCCAGACCAGGGATCGAACCCATGTCCCCTGCATTGCGAGGCGGATTCTTAACCACTGTGCCACCAGGGAAGTCCCAAAAGTATAAACTTTTTAATAGGGTAAATGACAGTTTTGTTCATTCACTTTGTCATCATTTGAATGTATTTAAATATTCTTCATAACACCTTCCACTATGTGATAGTATCATGTGGATGTATTTGTTTATCTATTTATCATCTGTCTCTTACATCTAGAAGTGAACTCCGAAAGAGCAGAGCCCTTCTCTTTTCTGTTTAACACAGGTTCGCAGCACCTAGGGCAATCCCTGGCACCTGGTAGGGACTTGATAAATACTGGTTGAATGAATGAACTAATGAAGTAAAGTTAATTATTGAATGGGGCTGGGATCTTAATACTCAATCTCAGTACTCTGGTAGAAATATGTTGAAAGAAATACTAAAAAAAAGACTGAGAAAATGATGGAAAGTTGATTAAATGAGCAAAATTTATTCTAATTCTGTCATCATCTTCATCAGAGCCATGTTTCCTTATCTGTAAATTGGGAATAATGGTATTTGCCTGGCAGGTTTTGGGGAGGATTAAAGTTAATTCATGTCCATGTGGGTGGCATGTAGCTATGTGCTCAATGAATATTAATAGAGAGTTAACAGTAGCGGCACAAGAAAGTAAGAGGGGTATCAATCCTCCGAAGACTGAAAATGACATTTTTAAGGGAATTCTGCTTCCAAGCCTCAAATTTTATTTTAATTTATATTTGCATGTTTCTTCATAGTTTTCAGAGCTCTTTTTCCATACTTTATTTCATCTAATTCTCACTCCATAATCTCACCTAGTGGTTACAATTAGTCCTGTTTCACAGATGGGAGTCGGAGGTTGGGCCTGGATTTAAGTTTGGAGATACCCAAACTTTCCTTTCAGGAGCTTCCCGAGCAAGCTTTTCCTCTGTTCATGGATCCCTCCTCTTGCCTCCCTGGCCAGGCTTGCCTTTCCAGTCAACTATTGTGTCATTTTTGTGGAATTCAGACCAGCAGCCCCTTGAGGGCAGGGACTGTCTTTATTGTTTTATTTGCAAAATCCCAGATGCAGTTCGATTGCTTATGTGTTTATTAGCAACAGGGGTTATACAAAGATATTGTGTACCTGGTTTGTTTATGTTCTGTTTAAGCAAATATAGTCACTTTTATTTTCTTCTCTCCCCCGCCCAACTCCCTGCCCCCTTCTTCTTGCAATCTGAACACCCTCTGTGTCAACCAGTGGGCTCTGTGGGAAAGGAAATCAGGTAGGATGGGAATGTCTGCTCCCTGTTCCCCTGTCTCTTGTCTCTCCCCTGGCTTTTGCCTGTCTTCCCTGTATCTCAGTTACAAAACACCAGATTTAAGCCTAGCCTACTACATGTACAATCATCAAAAAGACAATGCTGTTGATTATAGATTGAAAATGCAAATAGCCGGGAGTAGAGAACCTTCAGGCTGAAAGAGAGCGAAGGAGACCAAAGAGATGGAACTCCCTCCCTTCTCAGTTTAACCAGTGATAGATGAAGTACGTGTCCTGCTGTTCCCTCTCTAGCTTGCTGGACTGATGGTCATTCTTATCATTCCTGGACACTTGTGGTGAGTTGCAGCTCATTCAGGAAGAGAGTTCAGGATGGTAGTTAAGGGTGTGTTTTTTAGAGGTTTTTTAGAATTTGTTTGAGAGAATAGTAGGTACAGAAAATACAGAGTGTGGAAAATACACGGACTATGTGATATCAGATGAATGGTCAGATGAAGCTAAAGCTACAAAGACAGGGAGTCTCTTCCTTCAAACTATATAATCTAAGATTGTAAATTGCACTGAGCTAAACAAATTACATGTCTTATAGATTATTTCCCCAAGTGATTCAAGAGTAAATTCTAGGTATTATACATAGATGCTTAGATAAAACTCATTTGATGACAGGAGAGCATTTAGAAACAAAACCCAAAATAAGTTCCTGGTAGAGTCAGGAAGATAGCATATAGGTATGTTTCAAAAAGTGAAGCACTTTGTCAAGAGACTTAGTAGTGACTGAGGAAAATTATAGAATTATCACACAATAATCAAAGGAGGGAATTCACATAATAGGAAGGATCATTTGTAAGAGTTATGATTTTTATTGGAGTATAATTGCTTTACAGTGTTGTGTTAGTTTCTGCTGTACAACGAAGTGAATCAGCTATATGTATATATATATCCCCTCCCTCTTGGTCCTCCCTCCCATCCCCGCCCCCCCCATTCCACCCATCTAGGTCATCATAGAACACCAAGCTGAGTTCCCTGTGCTATACCACGTGTTCCCACTAGCTATCTATTTTATACGTGGTAGTGTTAGATCATTTGTAAGAGTTATTGATATGGAGGTAACACCCAGAGGTACCACTGCTATAAGGTAGCTTCAGTCAAAAATTCCTGCTATCAGCATCTTTTATAAGCAAAGAAGTGCTAAAACAGCTCTCCCATTACCCATAAGGGAAATTTTTTATTAACAGAATATTAGTGCTGGGAAAGGACCATCGTGATCTGAGACTATCAGAAGCCTTCTGAATATTTCAATTGGGAGAGCCTTAAGAGAATATTGAGTTCAATACCTTGTTTTACACCTGAGCAAACTGAGATTCAGAGAGTATGGGTTTTAAAGCCAGAGAGACTTGGGTTCAAATCCTCAATCTCTAAGTTGATGATACTTTTTCTCAGTATTTCCAGCTAAACCTCTTTTTCCTCTACCACGGGGATAAAACACCTTCCTCTTAAGTTCTACTGAGGGTTAAATTGAACTCTATTCTTAAATCCTTCAGAGCAGAGTCTGTGCATACTAGATTCCCAGTGAGGAATAGATATTCTTATCTCATAGGGCTAAGCAGTCCATTAAAAAAATAGTTTTCATTGTCAGAATATTTTTTGAGGCATAAAAATACTTATCCCTTTTGATCTACTAACCTGTAAAATGGGGATAATGGTACTTTGTCTAAAGAATGAAAAAGCTGTAAGCGTTAAGAAGCTTGTGGCACTACTGTTTATAATAAGAACATTTTGGAAATTCATTAAAAAGCCTTAGAGAATGAATTAAGTAAATTATTATCTGTCTACTCTGAGGAATATTATATATCCATAATAACAGTAACTGTAAAAATCGTGAAGCATGTTGAATAAAACTTACAATATAATGTTACGTTTAACATGATGAATTAAAAATTACATTTACATTATGATTATGAAAATGAAAATATAAATTATGTTTATGCACGTGGGCAAGAATTGGTAGGCAAAACAGAAAAATGAAAAGGACATTTTGGTGACTGATGAAATTCTGAGTATTTGTTTTTTGTTTTTCTTTTTGCGGTACGCGGGCCTCTCACTGTTGTGGCTTCTCCCATTGCGGAGCACAGGCTCTGGACGCGCAGGCTCAGCGGCCATGGCTCACGGGCCTAGCCGCTCCGCGGCATGTGGGATCTTCCTGGACGGGGGCACGAACCCACGTCCCCTGCATCGGCAGGCGGACTCTCAACCACTGCGCCACCAGGGGAGCCCTGTGTTTTCATTTTAATTTTCATTACCGTCACTCTAGGGTTATTTATGTAAAAATTAGTCACATAAAATTTTTTGTGAAGAAAGAAAATCTTTCTCTTCTCTTTAATAAGGTGGTGACCTCTGACTGAAACTTCATCCTTCACTGCCTGAAGAGCCACTTTGTATTTTATGCTCTGCAGGACATTGTCTAAATCAGTGGAACCTTAACCACAAGATTACTTTGGTTGCTGGAAAATGAATTGAAAGTTGGCATTGTTGGGAAGATCTAGAGCAGAAACTCTCTGATGTCTTGTGTTTTCTTTGCTTCTGAGTAAGAAACAAGCAAAGAAAAACAAGGATGAGTTAGCAAAGTCCAGTTTTATAGGAGATATGCCTTTGATCACAAAGTCTTCCCTCCTGCATGGACAAGTTATTACAGGGCGGGTGACTGGGGTGGTGAGAGGACTTGATACTACGTCACATGAGGACTGGTTGAAAGAACTGGGTCAATCAACTGCAAAATGCTTGCTGCCTTAATATTTTTGAAGGCAGTTCAGGCGGAAGAGAGACTAGACTTGTTCTGCTCAGCCTCAGAATGAAGAGTAGAATGTATCAAGTGACAGAGTTCACCTCAACATAAGGAAGAATTTATTAGTCAGAGATGTCCCAAAGTAGGATGGTTCAACTCAGGTGGTGAGCTCACTGTTCTTGGAGGTATTGCTAGTGGAGTCTAAAGACTCTAGTGTGTTCATAGCATTTGCTAAGGAAGGTAGGAGACAGCTTTTGAGGTACCTTCCACCTTAAGATTCTGTGACTCCTCCTGGAGCTCTGTTCCTAGCAAGTCTTAGGGATCCACCCTCATCTCCTTTCTTGTCACTCACCCTGAGGCACTCAAGGGAATTACTCCCTGTCACCATGTCTTGATATCACCATTTCCAAAATAGGGAAGTTTATGAGTATTAATTTCTCAATTTACTGTAGGGATTAATGAGTGTTAGTAAAGTAGAATTGTCAAGAGATTAAATTCCCTTAGGGACAAATATTATAATCTGGCTGCAATTTACATGAATCACTGTAGGAGAAAGAGCTACAGATGACAAAATATTCTGACTCAGTATAACTAATATTTATTTTACAAACTCATTCATTCATGATATATTTATTGAGATCATATAGACACTAGTAATTTTCTCTAACATATATGGCGTACATATATGATACTGTATAATGCACAAAAAATAATACAAGCACAATTGTTTTTTCTCACAAAACTTCCTGACTTTATCAGAATTATTCTAAATCTCTTCTTATTCCTATTTTCTCCCCTCTCACCTCTAATTTATAGTCTGTTTTTAGTAGTTTATTTTAGGCTACATTTTCAGAGGGATTCTTCTATATGTTCAGCCATTGGAAAAGAATATTAAAGATGATGAGTTTGCTTTTCACTAAGTGGACAGTGACTGTAGTGATTTTTCCACTTTTCCAGATTATGCTAATTTATGCACATAGTTTACAATAAGAGAACATGAAACTAACAAAGACAGGAAGAAGATTGTAGCTCTTGTGGTTACAGTGAGGCAGCCCTTTCTAAGTTGTGCACAGGAAGCAACCTTAGAGAGGTTTACTGAGTAACGGGTGGATATTCAAGGTAACTCAGGCCAGGAACTCTTCTTTCCCTCTAGACAGCGGGAAGTTATTAATAGGGCTCCATGTTGGAGAAAAACTGGTCTTTCTACCATGTGGATATTTGCATGAAGTTAAAGGACGAATAGGAAAGAGCATAACTGAGCTCAGTTAACAGATAGTAAGTACAGATGTGACTGGGAGATTGAGAGCTGTCTGTGTCAGCAACTTACCAAGGGGAGTGGTAGTGGGAAGGGTCAGCCTCAGGTGCAGGTGATATGAGAGAATCTATAGTGTCTATAGAGAGTTTAAAGACAATAATAAAAAGAATTAAAAGTTGTTTTGCATTTTATTATCACATGCATTTGCAGTTTTCAATGTCAGTGATACAACACACCTTGAGAAAATCTTTTGTTCTAAGTTTTAAACAGTGACTAGGGTAACTTAATAATATACATGTAAGCTTCACAGTAGCACATTTTTGTGTCTTATCCTTTGTCTTCTACATTAATTAAAAAGACTCTGAGTTATGTAATTTGTGCTTAGTACGCATGGACTCAGCTACATGTGTTGGCTTTGAGAGTAAGTTCATAATGGTTTGGAATTTTTACTGCTTATCTCATATGTGCTTTGTGTCTCCAGTACCTGTAGTGCACCTATTCCTGTGTTTAAATGGAAGATCTGAAATAAATAGCACAGTGATTGTGAAGACAAAGAAACAGAATTTAAGTCATATTGTGCTTAAAATTTAAAACAGTCAGACCACATATGAACTGTGAGATGTAATCTTTTTGGTTAGTGGATGCAAGTTTTAGTGTATATGTGAAATATCCTATTGACCTTGAATAATATGTTTAAAATTGAAATTTATTCTTGTTTTGAATGAATTATTTAAAAATAATACTTACTGGAAATAATTTTGTTGTATAAAAGTAGAAATTTTAAAAAAGGTTCTGTTTCAGATGTTAACTTTTTAGGTCCACCACTGGTGTTTAGAGTTGAACAGCTTTCGGTCAAGTACTTTGAGTTACTGAATCATTCTACACCTTAGCTTTTTCATGAATGAAATAAGCACCTCCTTTGTAGAGTTACTGTGAAATTAAATGGGATAATGCATATAAATACCTAGGGCAATACCATGAACATAGTAAATGCTCAATAAATGACAGTTTAATAATAATACTAGAGGAGCCCATGAGAAGATGGCAGTGTGGGAAGACGTGGAGTTAGCATCTCCCTACAACTAGGGCACCTGCCAGCTGCTGGTGGGGGACTCTGACGCCCAAGGAGATGGGAGGAACCCCAAAGTGAACCAGTAGAATGTAGGGGGACTGAGCAGGGAGGGGAATTGGAGGCCAGACAGGATCGGTGCCTCTGAGGCTGGGGAGATCAGGAGAGGCAGGTGGGAGGGACTCTCCAGGAAGAGCAGGAGAGGAGCAGAGGGCAATTGCCTGGTCCACTCGGGTAGGGGAGCCTGCTGAGCTCCCAAGCTGGTACCGCCCCTCCAAAGCCCCATCCAGGCCGAGTGGGTCCTGGGGGCAGAGGAGGGAGGCTGGGGAGATCAGGAGAGGCAGGTGGCAGGGGCCCTCCAGGAGGAGCAGGAGAGGAGAGGAGGGCGTTTGCCCCACCCACTCAAGCCCAGGAAGCCTGATGGGCTCCCAGGTGAGGTCCCTTGCTCTCTGAGACCAGAGGTGGGGGGCATGCCTGGGCCCCTTCTGTTCCTTGAGCCTAAGCCACCCCACACACAGCCCTCAGGGCCTGTGGGTTCTAAGCATTGGCCCCACCCACTGCCCAAACCTCACCCTTGCTTAGGCCCCGCCCTCCACAGCCAAGGCCTTTCCCCTCATTTTTTTTCTTTATTTTTTCTTTTCCCTTCTCCTCTTTTTTACTGTTGTACTGAAGTACCTTCTGGTTGTTATTCATCTATATTTTTATTTTTATATTCTTTCTAACATAGCTGATAGGTTCCTAGTCTAATTTTATTTTTTACTTTGTTATTGTCCTCTCTTTTTTTTTTCTTTTTGCCACCCCACATGGCTCGCGGGATATTGGTTCACAAGCCTGGGGTTGGGCCAAAGCTCCTGTGGTGGGAGCTCCGAGTCCTAACCACTGGACTAACAGAGAACCTCAGACTCCAGGGAATATTCATCGGAGTGAGGTCTCATGGAGTTCCTCATCTCAGCACCAAGACCCAGCTCTACCCAATAGCCTACAAACTCCAGTGTTGGAAGCCTCAGGGCAAACAACCAGTAAAACAGGAACACAATCCCACTCATAAAAAAAAAAAAAAAAAAAAAGAGATGGCAAAAACATATGTCACAGATGAAGGAGCAAGGTAAAAACCTACAAGACCAAATAAATGAAGAGAAAATAGGCAATCTACCAATCTACCTGAAAAACAATTCAGAGTAATGATAATAAAGATGATCCAGGATCTCAGAAATAGAATGGAGGCATGGATTGAGAAAATACAAGAAGTGTTTAACAAAGATCTAGAAGAACTAAAGAACAAACGAAGATGAACAACACAATAACTGAAATGAAAAATAAACTAGAAGGAATCAATAACAGAATAACTGAGGCAGAAGAATGAATAAGTGAGCTGGAAGACAAAATAAGGAAATAAATGCCGAGGAGCAGAATAAAGAAAAAATAATGAAAAGAATTGAAGACAATCTCAGAGACCTCTGGGACAATACTAAACACACCAACATTCGAATTATAGGGGTCCCAGAAGAAGAAGAGAAAAAGAAATGGTTTGAGAAAATATTTGAAGAGATTACAGTTGAAAACTTCCCTAATTTCGGAAAGGAAATAGTCACCAAGTCCAGGAAGCACAGAGAGTCCCATACAGGATAAACCCTAGGAAAAACATACCAAGACACATACTAATCCAACTAACAAAAATTAAATTCAAAGAAAAAATATTAAAAGCAGCAAGGGAAAAACAAAAAATAACATACAAAGGAATCCCCATAAGGTTAACAGCTGATCTTTCAGCACAAACTCTGCAGACCAGAAGGGAGTGGCAGGATATACTTAAAGTGAAAGAGAAAAACCTACAACCAAGATTACTCAACCTAGCAAGGATCTCATTCAGATTTGGTGGAGAAGTCAAAAGCTTTTCAGACAAGCAAAAGCTAAGAGAATTCAGCACCACCAAACCAGCTTTACAATAAATGCTAAAGAAACTTCTCTAAGTGGGAAACACAAGAGAAGAAAAAGACTCACAAAAACAAACCCAAAACAATTAAGAAAATGGTAATAGGAACATACATATTGATAATAACCTTGAATGTAAATGGATTAAATGCCCAAAACAAAAGGCACAGACTGGCTGAATGGTTACAGAAACAAGACCCATGTATATGCTGTCTACAAGGGACCACTTCAGACCTAGGGACACATACAGACTGAAAGGGAAGGGATGGAAAAAGATGTTCTATGCAACCGGAAATCAAAAGAAACCTGGGGTAGTAATACTCATACCAGATAAAATAGACTTTAAAATAAAGGCTGTTATAAGAGATAAGGAGGGAAACTACATAATGATCAAAGGATCAACCCAAGAAGAAGATATAACAAGTATAAATGTTTATGCACCCAACATAGGAGCACCTCAATACATAAGGCAAATGCTAACAACCATGAAAGGAGAAATCAACAGTAACACAGTAATAGTAGGGGACTTTAACACCCCACTTACACCAATGGACAGATCATCCAAACAGAAAATAAATAAGGAAACACAAGCTTTAAATGACACAATAGACCAGATAGATCTAATTGATATTTATAGAACATTCCACCCCAAAGTGGCAGAATACGCTTTCTTCTCAAGTGCACAAGGAACATTCTCCAGGATACATCACATCTTGGGTCACAAATCAAGCCTTGGAAAATTTAAGAAAATTGAAATCGTATCAAGCATATTTTCTGACCACAATATTATGAGATTGGAAATCAATTACTGGAAAAAACTGTAAAGAACACAAATACATGGAGGCTAAACAATACGTTACTAAATAACAAAGAGATCACTGAAGAAATCAAAGAAGAAATTAAAAAATACATAGAAACAAATGACAACGAAAACACGACGACACAAAACCTATAGGACGCAGCAAAAGCAGTTCTAAGAGGGAAGTTTATAGCAATTCAATTTCACCTCAAGAAGCAAGAAAAATCTCAAACAATCTAACCCTACACTTAAAACAACTAGAGAAAGAAGAACAAAGAAAACCCAAAGTGAGCAGAAGGAAAGAAATCATAAAGATCAGAGCAGAAATAAATGAAATAGAAACAAAACAGTAGCAAAGATCAATAAAACTAAAAGCTGGTTCTTGAGAAGATAAACAAAATTGATAAACTCTTAGCCAGACTCATCAAGAAAAAAAGGGAGAGGACACAAATCAATAAAATTAGAAAAGAAAAAGGAGAAATCACAACTGACACTGCAGAAATACAAAGGATTATAAGAGATGACTACAAACAACTGTATGCCAGTAAAATGCACAACCACGAAGAAATGGACAAATTCTTGGAAGGGTACAATTTTCCAAGACTGAACCAGGAAGAATTATAAAATATAAACAGAACTATCACAAGCAATGAAATTGAAACCATAATGAAAAGTCTTCCAACAAAATAAAGGCCAGGATCAGATGGCTTCACAGGTGAATTCTATCAAATGTTTGGGGAAGAGTTAACACTGATACTTCTCAAACTCTTCCAAAAAATTGCAGAGGGAGAAACACTCCCAAATTCATTCTACAAAGCCACCATCACCCTGACACCAAAACCAGAAAAAGATATCACAAAAAAAGAAAATTATGGATCAATATCACTGATGAACATAGATGCAAAAATCCTGAACAGAATACTAGCAAACAGAATCTAACAGCACATAACAAGGATCACACACCATGATCAAGTGAGATTTATCCCAGGGATGCAAGGATTCTTCAATATACACAAATCAATCAATGTGATGCACCACATTAACAAATTAAGGAATAAAAACCATATGATCATCTCAGTAGATGCAGAAAAAGCTTTTGACAGAAATTCAACACCCATTTATGATAAAAACTCTCCAGAAAATGGGCATAGAGGGAACTTACCTCAACAATAAAGGCCATATATGAGAAACCCACAACAAGCATCATACTCAATGGTGAAAAACTGAAAGCATTTCCACTAAGATCAGGAACAAGACAAGGATGTCCACTCTCACCACTCTTATTCCACATAGTTTTGGAAGTCCTAGCCACAGCGATCAGAGAAAAAAAGAAAAGTAATACAAATTGGAAAAGAAGAAATAAAACTGTCACAGTTTGCTGATGACATGATACTATACATAGAAAATCCTAAAGATGCCACCAGAAAACTAGTAGAACTAATCAATTAATTTGGTAAGGTTGCAGGATACAAAATTAATGCACAGAAATCTCCGGCATTCTTATACACCAACAATGAAAAATCAGAAGAGAAATTAAGGAAACACTCCCATTTACCATTGCAACGAAAAGAATAAAATGCCTAGGAATAAACCTGCAAAAGGAGGTGATCTACTACCTAACTTGTAGTCAGAAAACCATAAAACTGATGAAAGAAATCAAAGATGACATAAACAGATGGAGAAATATACCATGTTCTTGGATTGGAAGAATCAATATTGTGAAAATGACTATACTACCCAAAGCAATCTACAGATTCAGTGCAATCCCTATGATACTACCAATTGCATTCTTCACAGAATTAGAACAAAAATTTTACAATTCACATGGAAACACAAAGCCTGAATAGCCAAAGCAATCTTGAGAAAGAAAAACGGATTTGGAGGAATCAGGGTCCCCAACTGCAAACTATACCACAAAGCTGCAGCAATCAAGACAGTATGGTATTGGCATAAAAACAGAAATATAGATCAGTGGTACAGCATAGAATGCCCAGAGGTAAACCCACGCACATATGGTCACCTAATTTATGACAAAGGAGGCAAGAACATACAATGGAGAAAAGA